ACCATAGGATCTATTTCACTATTTTTTTTTCTTTTTTCGTTTGACAGTTAAGGGATGAGGATGAATGACTCTAATCCAGGCATGTCAAACTCACGACATCATGTGACGTCACACGACACATTGCGACTTTTCACCCATTGCTGGCAATGGAGTGGGCACAGTTTCAGTATGATGCATCCGGCCTGTGGGCCGGCAGTTTGACATGCCTGCTCTTGTTGTTGTTAGTTGCGAAGTCATGTCCGACCCATCGCGGCCAGTTTTTGGGCACTTGTTCTCTAAAAGGTTCGCCATCACTGTCCTAAGGTTTCAAAGAGTTCCCAGAAGTTGTTTGTGAAATGGGCAGTTGTAGCTTTATTTCCCCTCACTGTGTTCATTAGCAGACACAGCTGGCTTTTAGCATTGTCCCTGGAGGTGTAAAGGGCCCCTTCACTATGACTAAGTAGGAAATTCTAGATGAACTTGGATGTATATGGGAAACCCATTCCAGACCTTTCCTTGGAGCCTGTCTCACCCATATATCCAGATTATATGGCTATATTTTTACCGTTAGAGAAGTGATATGATTTTCAACATATTTAAACTTTCAAGTGTGAGAGTGGGGTTTTTGTGTGTCTGTGTCTGTGTGCGGAGGGAGGGAGAAAAAACAAATAAGCAAGAGATAAACAGAAAAAAAATATATATAGACAGTGACAACGAGGTACACAAACACACAAAGACAGAAAGATGAAGATCTGAATCTCAAGAAAAAAAAAAATGAGGATCGAAGTGCAAATCCAGTAAAGGAATTAAGAGTTCTAATTAAGGAAATCAATTTTCTATTTCTAAAGCTATTTTGAGAGCAGAACTTGTCAGCATTTTGCCATTGCTGTCTTACAGGAGTCCCCCCCCCCCGTATAATTATTCAGTTAATTTTCTTTATTGAGATTTTTTGGTTTTCCCCACCTCCAGTTGGAAAACAGCTTCCACACTACAGATACCAAGGTCAACTGTTCCTTCCTCCTGGCAATCAAGCAGCTTCCTCAGGCTCCTTTCATTGAAAAATGCAGCCCTATTCTGAGTGTGAAAGGACTTGAAGAGTCCTCTGAGGAATGGTAGGTTTTTGCCTAGCTTCAGATTTACTTCGTCTCACTGTGTCTCTTGCACAATAATAAATTGCTGTGTCTTCAGCTTTGAGGCTGTTCATCTGCAGATAGAGCTGGCTTTTGGCATTGTCCCTGGAGATGGTGAAGCGACCCTTCACTTTGTCTGAGTAGTGAATACCACTGGAAGGGTGATTTATGTATGCCACCCACTCCAGGCCTTTCCCTGGAGCCTGTCTCACCCAGTTCATGTTAGTGCCAGCAAAGTTGAATCCAGAGGCTTGGCAGGAGAGACTGAGGGACCCTCCAGGTCTTCTCACATCCCCTCCAGACTCCACCAAGAGGACCTCAGATTGGACACCTAAAATGAAAGGAGTTTCAGTGAGCTCTCCTGTATACAAGAATTAAAATGAAAACAATCTGAATATTTTGGAAAGAATTACCCCTGATCACTGCCAGAAAGGACACCAAATTTAGCCACAGGAACATTGTTGTTCCCTGTAATGAACGGAAGGTAATTGACAGGAGATGAAATGCACAGAGTTTGTGTTGGTGGGTGTTGCCTGAAAAGGGAAACCATGAACTTTAAAGAGGAAATTGTGCCTCAATTTACATATCGCTTGGCATAAAAGGCCCCTCAGGGCACTCACTTATAGATTTGTTTGTGTAGACTTTACAGATGTGATTTTCAAATAATGTTAAATAATAACCTGTATCCTCTGATTTCTAATTGTTCCTTTGCTAATATATATTTTTTGGGGGGAGGGGGAGATAATGAAACATCCCTTCCCTTTATCCATGCATTAAACAATGTAGGAACCTTGGTTTATGCCATTTATTGTAGCCATTTTTCAGGTGCCTCCAAGCCATTTCATGTAAATATGTGGAAGCTAATTGAGAGGCAGGATAGGAGAGATGGAGGGACAACCCTGGCCTACTCACAGGCACTTCAGACCCCATCAAGTGGACCTCTGACTGGATTCTTAGATGGAAAGGTTCTTGAATAAAATCTCCTATATCAGACATGTCAAACACAAGGGCCAGGGACCAGATGCGGCCCACGAAGTGGTTTCATGTGGTCCGCGAAGCCATCCTGGAAACAGTGAGGGAACGGCCCCCGCTGTCTTGGCCCTGGCCCAGGCCGGCCAGAAGCCAATGTACAATTTTGTGGTGGCCGTCTATGCTGAAATGCATTCAGTCTTAGCTCCACAAGGCCGTCTGGAAACAGCGAGGAACCATCCCCTCCTGTATCAGCCCTGCCCCCTGGGTGCACACTGGGGAGGTGTCACCCTTTGTGAGGAATGAAGAAATCGACCATGCCTTGGCGCTTGCCCTGGTCCCACCCCCTTCTGCCAGAGACCCTCAGATCTGTCCCACTCCTGCCTAGGCCCACACAGGCACCCTTGACGCAAATGATGTAGAGCTGGCCATGCCCACCCAGTAGGCCATGTCCACCCTGCCCACACCCACCCAGCCCCCTGAGGGCAACCGCAATACTGATGCGGCCCTCAATGAAATTGAGTTTGACACCCCTGTCCTATATACAAGAACAATAAATGGAAGGAAACTCTTCTGAGAGGAAAAAAGTATCTCTAAGGACTGCTAGTAAGGAGACTAAATTTCACCCCTGAAGAGCATTTTTTCTCCTTCTAATGAATTTATGGGAATTAACAGGAAAGGATTCCTGATGGGAGAAATGTTTTTTTTTTTTTAATAGAGAAATTGGAAAGAAAGAAATAAAGAAAGAAAGAAAGAAAGAAAGAAAGAAAGAAAGAAAGAAAGAAAGAAAGAAAGAAAGAAAAGAAAGAAAGTGGAAAAGTATCCAAACTTTGGGTTTGGGCTCCTTCAAAGAAGAAATTGTACCTTGATGTAAATTTATGGCTTTCAATAGCCACCTCATTGCATTTCCTTATATGTATATCTATCTATCTATCTATCTGTCTGTCTGTCTGTCTGTCTGTCTGTCTGTCTGTCTATCTATCTATCTATCTATCTATCTATCTATCTATCTATCTATCTATCTATCTATCTATCTTTGGACACAGATTTCACACGTGCATTTCAAACAAGGTCCATCCTAGGAACTGTCCATCATGCTTTTTATTGTGAGTACATAGCAGAAAATACAGGTTTACACAGCTGGGAAGCTGATAGCCAGGGTTCAAAAGCCATCGCTGCCCAATGGTGAGCTCCCATTACTTGCCCCAGCTCCTGCCCACCTAGGATTTCAAAAGCGTGCAAATGTGAGTAGATAAATAGGCACCACTTCAGTGGGAAGTGCACCTTGCATATAGTCATGCTGGCCACAAGTCCATGGAAATGGGGAAAATGTTTTTGGACAATGCTGGCTCCCTCAGTTAAAATATGGAGATGAGCACCACTCCCTAGTGTCAGACATGTAAAGCAAGATCTGATAGTTTCATCATTTCAAGAAAAGGTTCCGTGGTGACAGAAATAAATCATGCAATGAAAATGGTGCAGAAAGTTAAGAACAGCCAAGACTAAACTTTTTTTCCTTTTAAATTTATTGTACGTGCAAAGAGCTTTACCTTACATTAGGTAAGAGACAAAACTTTTGGATTAAAGATAAGGAAAGCGGATCTAAGTAGCACAGAGAAAGCATGGACTAACAACTTTTTGAAACAGACATGTTAAATATAGAACTAAAAAGAGGTCATTTAATTCAAACTGTATGTCTGCATTCAAGAACCTTTGTTTTCTTAACCAGGTTACATTTTGAAGAAACTCATAATAATGACATACAAAACACAGTTTTAAGTTACATAATTTGCAGCAAGTTGCAAGGTCAAAATCAAAGCAATCACCTCACAAGTTCATATGGTACACACTCTCTCATCCAAGAATGAACATGACATTTTCTACATTGCAAAGATTTCAAACATCTACAGTTAGCAAGGCACATTCTGTTCTGAACTCAGATGTGTCTTTACGGAGGAAATTGTGGTCTCTTGAGAAATGACATTCCCTTGAAATCAACTGGATAAATTTCTAAGCATATCAGATGGAAAAACTATGCCTGGGAAATGAGATATTACAGTACTTGTACACAGCGGTTTTGATTTTCATGCCATCCCCCACCCCAGCATCAGTGTGAGAATAGCAACCCCTAGTGTGCAAGCTGACCAAGGGAGGCATATGCCAAATTGTAAGAATCCTAAAGTTTCAAAAAAGTTCCCAGAAGTTGTTTGTGAAATGGGCAGTTGTAGCTTTATTTCCCCTCACTGTGTTCATTAGCAGATACAGCTGGCTTATAGCATTGTCCCTGGAGGTGTAAAGGGCCCCTTCACTTTGACTAAGTAGGAAATTCTAGATGAACTTGGATGTATATGGGAAACCCATTCCAGACCTTTCCTTGGAGCCTGTCTCACCCATATATCCAGATTATATGGTTATATTTTTACTGTTAGAGAAGTGATAAGATTTTCAACATATTTAAACTTTCAAGTGTGAGGGTGGGGTTTTTGTGGCTGTGTGTGGAGGGAGGGAGAGAAAACAAGTAAGCAAGAGATATACAGAAAAAATATATAGACAGAGACAACGAGGTACACAAACATACAAAGGCAGAAAGAGGAAGATCTGAGTCTCAAGAAAGAAAAAAATGAGGATCAAAGTGCAAATCCAGAAAAGGAATTAAGAGTTCTAATTAAGGAAATCAATTTTCTATTTCTAAAGCTATTTTGAGAGCAGAACTTGTCAGCATTTTGCCATTGCTGTCTTACAGGAGGTTTCCCCCCTCCCCATATAATATTCAGTTTATTTTCTTTATTGAGATTTTTTGGTTTCCCCCACCTCCAGTTGGAAAACAGCTTCCACATTACAACAGTACCTAGGTCAGCTCTTTCTTCCTCCTGGCAGTGAAGCAGCTACCTCAGGCTTCTTTCATTGAAAAATGCAGCCCTATTCTGAGTGTGAAAGGACTTGCAGAGTCCTCTGAGGAATGGTAGGTTTTTGCCTAGCTCCAGATTCACTTCCTCTCACTGTGTCTCTCGCACAGTAATAAACTGCCGTGTCTTCAGCTTTGAGGCTGTTCATCTGCAGATATAGCTGGCTTTTGGCATTGTCCCTGGAGATGGTGAAGCGTCCCTTCACTTTGTCTGAGTAGTAAATAGTACCAGAATTGGTGTTTATGAATGCAACCCATTCCAGGCCTTTTCCTGGGGCCTGTCTCACCCAGTGCATCCAATAGCTGCTGAAGGTGAATCCTGAGGCTTGGCAGGAGAGACGGAGGGACCCTCCAGGGCTTCTCACATCCCCTCCAGACTCCACCAACTGGGCCTCAGATCGGACACCTAAAATGAAAGCAGTTTCAGTGAGCTCCCCTGTATGCAAGAATTAAATGAAATTAGTCTGGATAATTACTAAAGAATTACCTCTGAGGACTGCTAGAAAGGACACCAAGTTTAGCCACAGGAACATTTTTGCTTCCTCTAATGAACGGAGCGTAATTGTTAGGAAAGGATGCTAGAAAATACACAAACGTTGTGTTGGTGGGTGTTTCCTGAAAAGGGAAACCATGAGCTTTAAAGAGGAAATTGTGCCTCGATTTACATATCACTTGGCATAAAAGAACTCCTCAGGGCATTCATTGAATACATTTCTTGGCACAGACTTAAGCTTGTGGTGTTCATAAAAAAGTTAAAAATAAGCTGTGTCCGTTGGCTAATTGAATTGGGTTTTGGTGAAGCATCTCTTCCATTTATTCATGTAGTAAATAATGTAAGAACCTTGATTTATGCCATCTATTGCAGCAATTTTCTAGGTGCCTCTCTCATTTGTCTCATGCAGTGGATGAGAAAACTAATCTAGAGGCCAAGCAGGAGAAATGGAGGGACTCTCCAGGCCCTTTGGACCCCACCAAGTGGACCTCTGGCTGAACCCCCTAGAAAGAAAGAAGTTAGTCAGAAAGAAAGGTGCTTGAGGGTGTGGGAAGACCAGTCTTCATCCTGGTTCATCCAAGCCAGGGATAAATAAACAACATGGCGACTGTTTTGGGAAGAAGGTTGCAGTTTATTGAAGAGGCAGAAAGATGGTTCTTGCAGGAAAGAGCAGAGAAAAGAAGGGCCTGAGCACATGGGTAGTAGGTTTTTATACCCTCTCTAGCCTTTTGTTTGGAATAGTTTCCTGTTCCTGTGGCATGAACTTTGAGGCTATTTCCTGTGTCAAGTTTTCTGACCCGAGTTTAGGTGTGCCTCTCTGGTATCCTTTATGGTGATGGGTTAGTCCTATTATCATATCCTGCTTCCCTGGTGATGGGGCTAATGGCTCCTAGAGTTTGGGTGGGTTATGCAGATTTTAGGTCTTTTATCTTCTTGATTTCCTGGCTCCAACTTTCCTGATGTTTTACATTTGGATTTGTACAGAGCTGGCTCCTGCTTGGGACAGAGAGATTTGGGGGCAGGGTTGGTTTCTGCTTTTAAAATCCTTTTTGAGGAAATATATTTTTTCTGCCTTTTTAATATTTCCTTCTCTGGGGAGCTGACTTCCCTCAATAGAAATCTCTTGTATGCAAGAAGCATAAATGGAAGGAAACTCTACAGACAGAGAAGAATTATCACTGAGGACTGCTAGTAAGGAGTTCCTAAAAAGATTAGATTCTTTTTCTTCCTCTAATGAATCAAGGGGAATTGATAGGATTGTGGAATGTGCCCTAACTTTGTGTTGTCATGTGTAGAGTGAAAATGGAAACCATGGGGCTCCTTCAAAGAGGAAACTGTGTCTTGATTTTGTGCTTTTCATTAGCAGATACAGCAGATGACAACAACAACAACAGCAGCAACAACAGAGTTGGAAGGGACCTTGCAGGTCATCTAGTCCAGCCCCCTGATAAGGCAGTAAACCCTACATGATTCTGGACAAATTTGTCTTTGTCTGAAAATGCTGATTGAACTTGGATGTATATGGGAAATCCATTCCAGGCCTTTCTTTGGAGCCTGTCTCACCCAGTGTTTCCAGATTATATGCTTATATATTTACTGCTAGAGAGTGATATGATTTTCAACATATTTAAACTTTCAAGTGTGAGTGTGTGTGTGTGTGTGTGTGTGTGTGTAGGGAGGGAGGGGGGAATATTCTGGAACGTATAGTCCTATGTAACCCTAACTCAGTGGTTCTCAACCTTTTTAATGCCACGACTCCCAACCGGTCGTAAGTCGAGGACTATTTAACCAGTCGTAAGTCGAGGACTACTCAACTGGTGCAGCACCGTTTGCAGAATGGGACTTTTGGCAGGCTCAGCAGGGCAGAGACAGCCTGGACAATTCCTATTGGCTTTTGAAAGCCAATAGAATTAGACTCTATTCAAGAGAGTCTATTCTATTGGCTTTCAAAAGCCAATAGAATAAAAGGGAGTAGCACAGCTAAGGAAAAGGGGGGAAAAATGGCGGACTGCGTTGTTTGGCGACCCCCGTGAAATGGTCGTTCGACCCCAAATGGGGTCCCGACCCACAGGTTGAGAACCACTGCCCTAACTAGAGAGCAGGTATCAGTATGTTAGAATATCTGGCAGTTATTGGATTAAATGCTAGGCATGTTGATGGGTCAGTGGGAGGAGTCTCAAAAGGTCATTGGGAGACTTCCTGGACACAAGCCAGGGTGGAATCTCTTTGTCTGAAAGAAGCATGGGCCATCAAAGGTCACACAATGAGCTTGAGTCGTTATAAAGATGGTATGGAAGAGAGCATCATACTTTTACCTAAAGAAATAGTCTAAAGAAATGGACAAAAGATGTATTTTCCAGGAGTAACAACCACAGCGTGAATGCAAGTAATCTTTCTGATTAAAATATATATTTTTTGTTATGAGATCGTTTCTTTTGAGTTATCTATCTGACTTGATTTAAAGAAGGTGTTTAATATCAGAGTCAGAATAGTAAAAGTATGACGTTACATAGGGCTATACGTTCCAGAATAGGGAAGGAGGGAAGGAAAGCAAGAGACAGCTATACCAAAAAAATATATAGACACAAACAATAAGATGCACACACAAATGTGCGTGCGCACACACACACACACACAAACACACACATACATAAAGACAGAAGGAAGAAGATCTGAGTCTTGAGAAAGATAAAATGAGGATCAAATTGCAAATCCAATAATGGAATGAAGAGTTCTAATGAAGGAAGTCCATTTTCCATTTCTAAAGATATTTTGAGAGCAGAACTTGTAAGCACTTTGCCATTGCTGTCTTATAAGAGTTTTATTTTTTCCCTGTATAATTACTCAGTTTATTTTCTTGATTGAGATTTTTTTTGGTTTTCCCCGCCTCCAATTGGAAAACACACTGCAGATACCAAGGTCATCTCTTTCTTCTTCCTGGCAATGAAGCAGCTACCTCAGGCTCCCCTCATTGAAAAATGCAGCCTTCTGAGTGTGAAAGGACTTGCAGAGTCCTCTGAGGAATGGTAGGTTTTTGCCTGGCTTCAGATTCACTTCCTCTCACTGTGTCTCTCGTACAGTAATAGACTGCCGTGTCTTCAGCTTTGAGGCTGTTCATCTGCAGATACAGCTGGCTTTTGGCATTGTCCCTGGAGATAGTGAAGCGGCCCTTCACTTTGTCTGAGTAGCGAATAGTACCAGAATTGGTGCTTATGAATGCCACCCATTCCAGGCCTTTTCCTGGAGCCTGTCTCACCCAGTTCATGTGGTAGCTGCTGAAGGTGAATCCTGAGGCTTGGCAGGAGAGACGGAGGGACCCTCCAGGTCTTCTCACATCCCCTCCAGACTCCACCAACTGGACCTGAGATTGGACTCCTAAAAAGAAAGGCGTATCAATAAACTCTCCGGTATACAAGAATTAAATGAAATTAGTCTGAATAATTACTAAAGAATTACCTCTGAGGACTGCTAGAAAGGACACTAAGTTTAGCCACAGGAACATTTTTGCTCCCTCTAATGAACGGAGCGTAACTGTTAGGAAAGGATGCTAGAAAATACACAAACTTTGTGTTGGTGGGTGTTTCCTGAAAAGGGAAACCATGAGCTTTAAAGAGGAAATTGTGCCTCGATTTACATATCGCTTGGCATAAAAGAACACCTCTGGGCATTGACTGAATACATTTCTTAAACTTGTGATGTTCATAAAAAAAAAATAAGCTGTTTCCTCTGGTTTCAAGTTATTCCTTGGCTAATTGAATTGCATTTTGGTGAAACATCTCTTCTATTTATTCATGTAGTAAATCATGTAAGAACTTTGATTTATGGCATCTATTGCAGCAATTTTCCAGGTGCCTCTCTCATTCATTTCATGCAATGGATGAGAAAGCTAATCTAGAGGGCAGGCAGGAGAGATGGAGGGACTCTCCAAGCCTTCTGAAGGGCCCTATATTATTATTATTATTATTATTATTATTATTATTATTATTAATAATAATAATAATAATAATAATAATAATAATAATAATAATAAAAATAAAGTTGGAAGGTTTCTTGGAGGTCATCAAATCCAACCCCCTGCTCAGGCAGGAAACCCTATACCATTTCGGACAAATGGCTGTCCAGTTTCTTCTTAAAAACTTCCAGTGTTGGAGCATTCACCACTTCTCGAGGCAGGTTGTTCCACTGGCTAATTGCTCTAACTGTCAGGAAGTTTCTCCTTAGTTCTAGGTTGCTTCTCTCTTTGGTTAGTTTCCATCCATTACTTCTTATTCTGCCTTCAGGCGCTTTGGAGAATAGCTTGACTCCCTCTTCTTTGTGGCAGCCCCTGAGATATTATGACACTGCTATCATGTTCCCCTCGTCCTTCTCTTCATCAAACTAGACATACCCAATTCCAGCAACCGTTCCTTACATGTTTTAGCCTCCAGTCCCCCAATCATCTTTGTTGCTCCTCTCCGCACTCTTTCCAGAGTCTTTGGACCCCACCAAGAGGAGCTCTGGCTGAACCCCCTAGAAAGAAAGAAGTCAGTCAGAAAGAAAGGTGCTTGAGAGAAATCTCTTGTATACAAGAAGAATAAATGGAAGGAAACTCTACAGACAGAGACAAATTATCATTAAGGACTGCTAGTAAGGAGATCCAAAAAAGTGTAGACTCTTTTTCTTTCTCTAATGAATCAAGGGGAATTAATAGGAAAGGATTGTGGAATGTGGCCTAACTTTGTGTTGTCATGTGTAAAGTGAAAATGAAATGGGGCTCCTTCAAATAAGAAATTGTGTCTTGATTTAAATATCTGGCATCAAAAAGCCATCTCATTGCATTTGCTTAGATATACATTTCTTTGCATATAGATTTCACACATTGATTTCAAATGAGGTTCAGTCCTAGGTACATCCGAGTTAAAAAAAAAAATGATTGTTCCTTTGGTCATGTTCCTTGATCCAAAAGAACAATGTAGAATAAACCATAAAGCACAATTTGAAACCTACATCCAAGTATCAAAGTTGTCTCAAAGTCTCAAATCGGTTTTGATAAGTATCTTATAAAGGTGATTTTGAAAACGAAATCCAAACAGTTAAAAATAGTCAAGACTAAGGTTTTTTTAAGTTCTATTTTTATTTTTTTCATTTAAAATTCATTAAGTAAGAGACAGTCTTTTGGGTTACGGCTAAGGAAAGTGGTTCTAAGTAACACAGAGAAATCATTACTAATATTTTTTTTTTAAATAGACATCGTAAAAGATGGAACTTAAAAGTGGTACATTTGGTTCAAATGGTACGTCAGGAACATTGGTATTCTTAATCAAGTTATGTTTTGAAGAAACCCATATTAACTTTGTACAAAGTAAGGCATAAAATGCTAGGTTTGCTTTGGCTTCCTCTCATTGTGTATCTAGTGCAGCAATAGACGGCTGTGTCTTCTGGTTTTAGGTTGTCCATTTGCAGATAAAGCTGGCTTTTGACATTGTCCCTGGAGATGGTGAAGCATCCCTACACTTTGTCTGAGTAGTAAATGCTAGATGTAGGCATGCTTGCAACCCATATCAGTCCTTTCCCAGGAGCCTATGTCACCCAATTCATCCAGTGTTTTCTGAAGGTGAATCCAGAGCCTTGGCTAATTTAATTTTTAGTTTTTAACTTGGCAATGAATGAATGAAAAAATAATATCCTGTAGAAAAGAAATAAACAGTGGCATATTGTCAATAATATATTATTGCTGTATAAGCTCCTGAGAGTCAAGTATATAAATAAAAGATGGGAAGTATATAAATAAAAATAAGATAAAATAACAAAATAAATAAACATTGAGAGAAAGAAAGGGGATTGAACTGGAAAATAATATGTGAAGGAAGCATTTGATCTGACCTCAATATTTCTTTGCATTATCACAAGTCCACCAGAGATGATAAAAAGTACCTTACTTATCATTGCATTTCCAACAAACATTTGAGAAACCTTCTTTTTCTGATTGACAGTTTGTTGGACATTATGTACCAAGGATATATCATCTATATTGCCATGAAATTTTCAACACATTCCCTAACCTACAGCTAAACAGGTTCCCTACTGCTCATTCCAAGATCAATTCTAGAATAAGCTATGATGGAAGTTTATCTGTTGCTTTTCAGAGATGGATCATAAATTCAACCTTCTGTGACTAAATCAAGTTGGAAAGTTGCTCAGAGGAAGAGAAAGTTTTTGCCTGGTGTCAGATTTGCTTCCTCTCATGGTGTCTGCCATGCAATGATAGACTGCTGTGTCCTCTGATTTCAGGCTGTTCATTTGCAGATACAGCTGACTTTTGGCATTGTCTCTGGAGATGGTGAAGCGTCCCTTCACTTTGTCAGAGTAGTAAATGTTAGATGAACTTGGATTTATATGAGAAACCCATTCCAGGCCTTTCCCTGGAGCCTGTCTCATCCAGTACATCCAGGAGCTAGTAAAGGTGAATCCAGAAGCTTGGCAGGAGATACGCATGGACTCTCCAGGTCTTCTCAAGTTCCCTCCAGACTCCACCAACTGGCCTTGAGATTTGACACCTAAAAAGAAAGATGTTTCAATGAGAACTCATAAATACAATAACAACAGATGAAAGAAAAGTATATGTAGAGGGAAACATTACCTCCAAGGCATGCAAGTAAGAACACCAAGTTTAGCCCAAGGGTCATTTTGGCTTCCTCTGATGAATGGAGGGGAATTGATAGGAGAGGATTTGGGAAAGTGCACAAAATTTGTGTCGGTGGTGTAGCCTTAAAAGTAAAACCAACTGACACTCTTAAAGGGGAAATTGTGCCTTGATTTACATATTGGTTGAGATAAAAGAGCTATTTAGTTGCATTTATCTCATAGTTTTCCCTGCATGCTCCCTACAGAGGTGATCTTTAGATAACTTTATAGCCTTGCAAAATCAGAACTCAGCCTTTACATTAGAACAATTAAAACAAAGTCTTGAAAAACTTCACCACTTCTCAGAATTGACTCAGCATTACAAATGGTGAACATGCACTAATTCTTTTTGAGAAAGACACTTTAGACAAAGAATAGGAAGAGAATAGCACATTTGAGTTTAGTGAATATGTATGTGTGTGTGTGTGTGTGTGTATATATATATATATATATATATATATATATATATATATATATATATATATATATATATACATAGTCCTCCTCCCCTTTAATATGGTGTTTTGAAGAAACCAAAAGACTTAAATGTAGACCAATGCTTAAATGCTTTTCATTCAACAATTTCTAAGTTATAATGGAATGGAAAAAAAAAATCACACTAAGAAAAGAAATAGGTTCAGCCTGTGGGGTGTTCTTTGCTTATTAGATTTGGTTTTAACTCGGCAGTTGAATTTATTTTATATATTGCTTGGTCTTTTTATCAGTTCTTAGTTTCTGTGACTTGATTTGCCCTGATGGGCAGCTATACAAATTGAGATAACAATGGCAACAGTAATACTAATATCATGGCTAATAAAAATTGCCAACAAATGCACTCTGAAGACTGAGTTATATGAATAAATCACTTTGTATTCTCCAATGCATTCAGTTTGTTTTATATTTAACACAGCACAAGTTCAATCAACTCAGATGTGGATTCTTAGTCAGGAATTATACATAAAACACATACACAGAGACAGAAAACTAACACACACTAATAAAGAAAGAGAAGAAATAGGGAAGGGAAAGGGTGAGGGAGAAGGATAGGGAGATGAGAGGAGAGGAGAGGAGAGAAGAGGAGAGGAAAGGAGAGGAGAGGGAAGGAAAGGAAAGGAAAGGAAAGGAAAGGAAAGGAAAGGAAAGGAGGAGAGAGGAGAGGAGAGGAGAGGAAAGGAAAGGAAGACAGGTGAAATGAAGGCAGAAGAAATAAAATAAAAGAAAAGGAAAGGAAAGAAAGAAAGAAAGATTTTCCCTTTTTTCCTAATAATCAAACCCCCAAATCATGAGAGTATTATTATTTTTTCTTTCATACAAAAAGTGTATATACTATTTCCAGTCACCCTGAATATACATTTTCTTTCTGATATAAAATAAATAAATGTAGCCATCTCCACAAATTCTTTTGTCTTTACCAACCATTCCTCCATTGTGGATGGTGCTGAACCTTCCCATTTTTGAGCCTATGATAGACTCTCTGCAGTTGTCATATATAAAAAAAGTCCTGAGGACCCACCTTCTCCCAATGGGGCTAACCTGCCGCATTTGCTCCAGCCAAGCGGCCTGCTGCACACCCTCTCAGCCAAGGAATGTCAGATAATGGGGTCATGCAGAAGAGCCTTTTCCGCTGTGGCCCCGCCAGAAGTGAGAACTGCCCTCACCCTTTTGGCCTTGAAGAAAGGTATAAATTAAAGAATGGTTTTGCCAGATGGCTGCAGGCCATGAGAGGACTGCTCGCTCCTGGAAGTGGTTGTCAGGGTAACAAGAAGCTCTCATTCACCTGAGTCTGTCTGTCTCCTTGGTTCTAGATTTTATATAGCCTTATAATTATAATTGCAATTAGAGTTACATTTAACTTTTTATCTATCTAGCCATGGTGACACAATGGATAGAATGCAATATTGCAGGCTAGCTCTGCCTGCTGCCAGCAGTTCGATTCTCATCGGCTCAAGGTTGACTCAGCCTTCCATCCTGTCATAGTTGGTAAAATGGAGGCCCAGATGGTTGGAGACAATATGCTGACTCTATAAACTGCTTAGAGAGGTCTGTAAAGCGATATGAACTGGTGTATAGGTCTAAATGCTATTGTTATTTATCTTTTTACTGCTTGAAAGCTGCCCCCATTCACCCTTATCATTGAGAGATGGAACAGAATGAATAAATGAATGAATGAATGAATGGTTCCCTAGATTTTCTTCTAAGTGCCTGTCCATTAGTCTTACTCAGTGCTTTTTTTCTAAAAAAACAAAAAAAAAAAAGGTGCCGGAACTCACACATGTCATACAACCCGCCTTGCCTACCCTACAAGGTTCCATCCCAAAAAGGTGCCGAACTCCGTTCTGGGTGTTCTGTGAGAAAAAAAAGCCCTGGTCTTACTTGTGAATCACTGAGATAATTTGTTTCCATACCTTTTTTAGCTATTGTGTACGTCTTCCCCACATTAGAAAATGTTGCTTCATGTTGTTCACATTTCCAGGAAAATATTGAAGTACATTTACACATTCTAGGTCATTTCTCTGATGAGAAACACAAATGATACAACATTTTATTGGGAAAACAAAGTCCCAGGTTCAGGCTAAGAGGTGAAATTTTCATGACATTTGTTTTCAATGAACTATTACGGAAATAACATAAAAAAATATTGTGCCTGTACAATCAGAAAATATCTAATGAGACTTGTTCTCTACCCAGCCCCCCACTGGGTGCAGAGGCCGTGGGGTTTCATGTGACAAGATTGCCCCCCCAGTGTCAAAAGTGAGGAGGGGAAACATCTTCCTAATTCTCCAAGGAGATTCTTTAAGTCCAGCTGTTTCCTCAATAGTTGTATGGCAGTTTGGATATTTAGAAAGATGATCATAAAGTTTTGTTTCCTGCCTTCTGCAATGATACTAAAGGGCTACTTTTAATTCAAGGTTGTTATTGTTTTTTTTTTTTTTTCTGAAGCCAGAACACTTTGTAAACAGGGAAGATGAAACCAGAATATTCAAACCATCTTCAAGACGTTTTACATTTTCTTCCAGAAAACCTTCTAAATAGAACCTAGAATAAAAGAATCTTAAAGTTCTCACTAGACAGTTATCGATCATCATTGAGTCATCAGGATATGGGACAGAAGGGAAGGGAAGGAGAGAGGAGGGGGGGAAGGCAGGACAGGGCAGGGCAGAGGAGAGGAGAGGAGAGGAGAGGAGAGGGGAGGGGAGGGGAAGAGAGGAGAGGAGAGGAAAGGGAAGGGAAGGGGAGGGGAGAGGAAGAGAGGGGAGGGAGGAGAGGAGAGGCAGAGGGGAGGGAGACAGGAGGGATGATTTATTTTTCAACTGCCCCATTTCTTGGTTTCATATCACTCTAAATTATCAGGATATTATTATTATTATTATGGATCATCGCACAGTCAGCCAGATGTTCAGACTGGATTTGGCATTTTGTCTACCTATCGAGTCTTACCCAGGACCTGGGATAGGCAGATGTGGATGTTTGATGGTATTACAGGTATCGTCGCAGGATGGAAGCAGTTCCTAGTAAGGCCGCCTTTTGCAATTGACTAATGGCAAATTTTTCAATGCCAGTGGTGTTCAAGTGGTGCTCCAGTTGTTTTGGGATTGCACCCAAGGCGCCTATGACTATTGGTACTACCCTTGCTTGCTTTTGCCACAGTCTTTCTATTTCTATTTGTAGGTCTTTGTATTTTGTTCTCTTCTCCAGTTCTTTCTCTTCTATTCTGCTGTCTCCAGGCACTGCCACGGCCACTATCCAGACTTTTTTGTCTTTCTTATCGACAATTGTTAAGTCTGGGGTGTTATGTTGCAGGTGCTTGTCTGTTTGAATTCTGAAGTCCCAGAGCAGTTTAATTTTATCATTTTCTATGACTTTCTCTATTTTATGATCCCACCAGTTTTTGCTTACAGGCAAATGATATTTTTTGCAGATCTTCCAATGCACCATTGTTGCTACTTTGTCATGCCGCTGCTTATAGTCAATCTGTGCAATCTTCTTGCAACAGCTTACCAGGTGGTCCACTGTTTCTTCAGCTTCTTTGCATAGGTGGCACTTACTGTCTGTTGCTTGAGTCCAGTCCACTATTCCAGCTGTGTACCTAATGACTGGGATTGCCCAGGTGTTGATTGCCTTTATGGTATTTCCTCCATTGAGTTTGGATTTTAAGATCTTCTTCACTCTCTTGATGTATTCACCTCTAATCTTTTTCTTGACTTCAGTGTGCTTGATGCTGTCAGCTTGAAGGATACCCAAGTATTTGTAGTAATAGCCATGTCCTGAGTTATTCATATTGTTGACAGAGGAAACAGTGCAATAACAAATAGTAATGGTGATAATGAATCTCCTTGAAATATTCCTCTCTTGATATTAACCTCTCCCAGCCTCTCACCATTGATCTGCAACTGTGTCTTCCATTGTGCCATTGATCTTTGCACAAATTTTCTGATGTTTCTACTGACTCCTGTTATTTCTAGGCACTTTATTATCCAATCATGTGGCAGAGAGTCAAATGCCTTTTTGTAGTCAATCCATGCCACATTCAGGTTGGTCTTCCTTTCTTGCAGTTTTCCAAGATCATTTTGTCTATTAGGAGTTGATCTTTTGTTCCTCTGCTATTGGGGCGGTTTCCTTTCTGCTCAGGTGGAAAGAGATTGTTTTCAACTAGATGCTGTTGTACTGCATCAGCTACCACACCAGTTAGTAATTTGAAAGTTGTTGGTAAGCAGGTAATTGGCCTGTAGTTGCCTGGTGTTGCCCCTTTTGCTGGATTTTTCATTATTAGGTAGGTTTTCCCAGTTGTTAGCCACTTTTCAATTTCTCCTCCTTGTAGTATATTGTTGAACTGCTTGGCAATGAGTGGGTGTATAACAGTTAGATGTTTCAACCAAAACCCATGCAGTTCATCTTCACCTGGTGCTGACCAATTTTTGATTTTCCTTGTTCTTTTTTCTACCATTTTTGTTGTTATTACTAGTTCTTTCATTTCAACTTCTGTTTTATTTGCATCCACCTCTTTTAACCAAGCCGCATCCTTGTTGTATTTCTTTGGGTTATCCCATATCTGCTTCCAGAACTGCACTGTTTCTTCCTTGTCAGGTACTGACTGATTCCTTGCAGTTTCTCCATTGATGGATTGGTAGAAACGTTTCTGATTGGATTGAAATTGGAGGTTCTGCCTATAG